ATAAGAGTGGTCTTCTTTTTCTTGCAATATTCATAATGAGTGAAATACAATTCAACCTTTGAAAATCAACATGGTATCAGAGCAGGGAAATTAACCTGCTTCTGCTATACTGCTATCCGAGAGTATTCAATCTCCAAAATGTCTGAAGACAATCCATTAGCATCAGAAGCTGATAGCTCCCCAGAGCTTTCCTCCGTGAATGTGCATGAGATGGACGTCAACCCAAATCAAAGGTTAAGCTCAGTCGTACTGAATGAGTTTAATTACTTGCCATGGTCAAGAGCTGTGTCTTTGGCGCTGGGTGGCAGGTCCAAGTTAGGGTTCATAAATGGAAGCATCAAAGTACCTGATACTTCCTCACCAAACTATGAATCCTGGCTTAGCAAGGATCAGCTAGTTATGTCATGGCTCTTGAATTCCATGGAACGAAAGTTAGCTGAAATATTCAGCAACTCAGAATCCTCGTATCAACTATGGGAAGCGGTCAAGAAAATGTATGGTAGCCAGAATAATGCTGCTAGGGTTTTTCAATTAAAGAAGGACATCTCCGATCTGCAACAAGATGGTAAGCCATTTGTGCAACTCCTAGGAAGCATGAAAAACATGTGGAACGAGTTAGAAATCTATCGTCCTCATACGACCGATGCAGCATTGCTACAAAAGAGAGCAGAAGAAGACAAGATATTCCAACTCTTGTCTAGTCTTGACTCAACATATGAAGATCTATGATGTCACATGCTCATGAACACTGAACTTCCTTCCTTCACCAGTGTGTGTGCAATGATTCAACGTGAAGAAGTAAGGAGGAAAGTCATGAACATGAGTACAATGTCTAACATCCTGAGGCTAGGGCATATATAACCAACGAAAGAAAGTACAAAGGAAAACATCCGCACTTGAAGTGTCAACACTGCAACAATACAGGTCATGTTAAAGACACATGCTGGATTTTACATCCAGAGTTAAAGCCTGACTTCATGAAGGACAACAAGGGCGTACAAAGGGTGAACCGTACTCCACATCGAGTAAATCATGCGTCTACCTCCATCTCCAATAGGTCAGATCCATTCAAGAACTTCACAGCAAACCCAGCAGAACTCATGAATGAGTTTATGTCGTACCTTCAAGGCAAGAAATGAGAGGCTGGAATTGACCGTACAGATAGCATGGAAGAAGGGACCTCGACAGCATTGTTAGGCAAGTTTGCAGGTTTCTTGGCAGACACAAAACCTGTACCCCAAGAGGACATGCAAGGTATCATGAAAGCCTTTAAAACTGCTCTTAAATTAAATATGTTGCATGATTTTTGGGTTGTAAATTCAGGTGCTACAAATCATATGACCAACCATGTGTCTAAATCTCAAAAGTTTGAAAATTTGACAAAGCCTTCTCAAGTTTCAATTGCAAATGGAAAGCATGTAAAGGTTTTAGGAAAAGAAAAGATAATGTTGATGTCTGATGAAATTGAATCAATAGCTTTGTATGTTCCTTCCTTCCCATTTCAACTTCTATTTGTGGGAAGGATCACAAATACCTTGAATTGCTTAGCCATTTTTTCTCCTCACAATGTGATTTTTCAGGATTATGCCACCAAAAAGACAATTGGTGAAGGGTTTTATTTAGATGGTCTCTATTACATGTCAAAGAGCAATCCCAGAGGGTGTCAAGCCAAGTTCAACTCCATTCACGATAATCAATTGTGGCATCAACGTTTAGCTCACCCTTCCTCACCCATTTTGTCATCTTCATTTCCAAACTTAGGAAAGGATGCTATTTTTTGTGAAACATGCCACTTGTCTAAGGCCACTAGATTACCTTTTAACTCTTCTTTGTCTAGGACTAGTAAGTGTTTTGAACTAGTTCATTCAGATGTATGGGGACCAACTAGTGAATCTTTTGATGGCTACAAGTATTTTGTGATTTTTGTGGATGATTTTTCTCGAGTCACATGGTTGTATCTTCTAAAGTCTAAGAATGAAGTTACAGAAGTGTTTAAGGACTTCCATAACCTTGTTAAAAACCATTTCTCATCTCAAATTCAAACCTTACGATCTAACAATGGCACCGAATACATGTCCCATATCATGAAACAATATTTGAGCACTCATGGCATCATGCATCAAACAAGTTGCGTTGGAACCCCTCAACAAAATGGGGTAGCTGAACGTAAAAACCGTGACCTACTTGAGAAAACAAGAGCACTAATGCTGCAAATGAATGTACCAAAGAGTTTTTGGTCCCAAGGTGTTATGGCAGCTGCATATATCATCAATAGGTTACCTAGCCGAGTCTTGGAATTCAAGTTTCCCCTAGAAGTCCTGAAAGGAAGGAAAATTGATCTCTCGCATCTTAGAGTGTTTGGTTGCATCTATTTTGTGCATGTTCAATCTAATCACCGAGCTAAATTAGATCCTAGAGCTGCTAAATGTATCTTCCTTGGTTACTCATCTACTCAAAAGGGATATAGGTGTTATAATCCCCAACTAAGGAGAGTGTTTGGGTCCAAAGACGTTCGATTTCATGAGACTACCCCTTTTTTTGACAAGACAAGTGAAATCATAGATCAAGGGGATGACATCTTGGACTTGTTCCCATTACCAAGAATCGAACATGAGGGTCCGCAACAACGAGAGCTCAGTCATGCCAACACTGATGCTTATCTCAATGATGATAACCATGAAGGCTCTCATCCTAATGGTTCCATGCATGATGATGGCAGCGGCAACCAAGAAAACCTTCAAAGTGTGGCTGAAAATTTAATGAGAGTGAGCCAACTCTCCCAGAACCTCGACGCAATCCTTGGCGTGATAGGTAGCCTCCCACAAGGTTTCAAGATTTTGACATATATAAACCGAGGCATCCAATATCAAATTATGTGTCGTATCAAAAGGTGACTCTATCACATGCTGCCTTCCTTAACACCATCTCCAGTCACAATGAGCCTCAAAACTTCCATGAGGCTAATAATCATGCTGTGTGGCAAGAAGCAATGCGAGATGAACTCAAAGCTCTAGACCAACACAACACCTGGAGCATTACCAAACTCCAAAAGGAAAAAGGGCAATGGGTTGCAAATGGATCTATAAGATCAAGTTTAATTCTGATGGTTCAATTGAGAGGCATAAAGCCAGGCTAGTGGCTCGCGGATTCACTCAAACATTTGAGGTGGACTACAAAGAAACATTTGCTCCTGTTGCAAAAATGAACTCAGTTAGGGTTGTATTGTCTATTGTTGTCAATAAGGGTTGGTCCATGTACCAAATGGACGTGAAGAACGCCTTTCTACATGGTGATCTTGAAGAAGAAGTCTACATGCGATTGCCCCCCGGACATCCTCAAAGTCAGGACCCTGATTTGGTGTGTAAGTTACATAAGTCTATTTATGGACTGAAGCAATCGCCTCATGCTTGGTATGCTAAACTAAGTTCAGTTCTTCATAGTGCTGGTTTCAAAAGGAGTGGTGTCGATTCATCATTATTCGTTCGCACTGGAGCTGGTAGGAAATTAGTTGTGTTGATATATGTGGATGACTTAATAATTACAGGTGATAATGCTGCAGAGATCTCCAAACTCAAACAGTCACTTCAACAATGATTTGCGATTAAAGACCTTGGGGTGTTAAAATATTTCCTTGGGATCGAAATGGCATCTTCTCATAAGGGTTTATTTCTTAATCAACGGAAATACGTCATGGATCTCCTCAAGGATGCTAGTATGAGTGATGCTAAGCCTGCCATTACTCCTCTCAATAGCAAGCTCAAACTTAACTTGGAAGGAACTCCACTTTCGAATATCAGCTCCTATCAGAGGCTTGTTGGTAAGTTGATCTACCTAATGATCACCAGACCAGACATCTCATATGCAGTGAGTATTTCCAGTCAATTCATGCACTCTCCCACCACCGAGCATTTGAACCTTGTAAAAAGGATCTTACGTTACTTAAAAGGGTCTGTTGGTCGTGGTATTCTCATGACAAAGAACAACCACACTCACATCATGGGGTACTGCGATGCAGATTGGGCAGGAAATGCCATCGATCGCAAGTCCACAAGTGGTTACTGCACCTTTGTTGGTGGAAACTTGGTCACCTGGAAAAGTAAGAAGCAAACTGTCATCGCCAGATCCAGTGCCGAAGCTGAGTATCGTGCAATGGCTTCACCAGCGTGTGAGTTGATCTGGCTCAAGGGTCTTCTGTGTGATTTAGGGTTTCCTGCAACCCTTCCTATGTCCCTATTCTGTGACAACCAGGCCGCCATGCATATAACATCCAATCCCGTGTTTCACAAACGAACGAAACACATTGAGGTTGACTGCCATTACGTTCGTGAATAGGTGCAATCGCAAGTAATCCAGACACATTACACAAGAAGCTCCAACCAATTGGCTGACATTTTCACAAAGCCCTTAGCTTCTCATCACTTTCAACGGCTTCTGTCCAAGCTTGGATCCATCAACCTTCTAGATCCAGCTTGAGGGGGAGTATTGGAAGTTGCCTAATGGATATTAGGGTTTCCTGCATGGTTATGAGTCCGGTTCCCTTGTGATTAGTTGTCAACTTCCTAATCTAAGTTGTCAACTCCCTTAATTCAAGGAGTTGTTATTTAGCTTCCCAAAGTGATTTGTATAGATCTCAAGGATGGGTTGTCATCCTCACTTTAGCTAAGTCATGGGCTAAAGTGATGGTCTTAACCCTACTCTCTTGTCTTCCCATACCTTGTCATTTCCCTTACCTCTTTTGTCAACCTTCTTGCTTGTAGGAGCTTCTTTACTTGTAATTAAGTTTTTGCTTTCCCACTTGTTAGGGCAGTTTTTTAGGGATTGTGTTTGCCTACAATTCTTGTAGCTTTCTTTTTGACTCTTTATAAGAGTGGTCTTCTTTTTCTTGTAATATTCATAATGAGTGAAATACAATTCAACCTTTGAAAATCAACACTACCTTATAAATCCCCGCCATAACCGACAAACCGTGCATCTAACTTTCTGGTAACAACATAGGGCGATGAGATCAAGAAAACCGTGCAATAGTACAAGCAACAGTAAGGTTTTATAAATGTAAGGGAAGCAAGAAGCAAATGTCGCTTATCTGCCACTGTACAATTTAACAAGCAGCTCACCTCCAGCTGCTGGCCAATCTTTTCAGGCATAAAACTCTGTATAGAGAAATGAAAAATATTAACATCTGCATCCCACACCCACACCCACCTTCATCCACCCCTTGATACAGTTTATCTCTCGCCTTTCAGCAAATTGTACATCAGTCAAAAGCTATCCCTATCACAATAGTAGAATGCAATTCACAATTTTTTGAGGCCAAGGTATCTTTCCTCATTCAATAAAAAACATCGATATTCAATAAGAGAGCACATCAATAATGAATTTTTACCTAAATAGAAAGTATATGATTAAGAAGAAAACCACAAAATATGCCACAGGTACACACGTTCTCCGGCTTGATTTTTTCTCAAATACCTACAAAGCAAATAACTTGATCTCTCAGCCAATTGCCCGTAAGTGATAACACAAAAAGGAAAAAAGGGAGAAGTGAGGTTTAGGTACCATTTTAAATCTATCCATTGTTCCAGACAATATACCCCTTGACACATCCATGCTATTGCCCTGGTTTTACAGGATAATCAAACAAGTTCAAACATATAAACAATATCTAGAGAAACAGAAATATCTAACAAGCAGAGTACGTTTAATAAGTAGAAGCATACCATTCGGTCAAGCAAGCGATTATGGCTCTCCACCTCTTCATGAATATCACCTGTTAACTGTAAATAAAACATTTTTATTTTGTAAGATTAAAGACTGATCAACCCGAACCCACATCCATACCATTGCATTAATATACAATCAACTACAACTTCAACTTCACTTTCTGTAAGAAGAACAATATCTAGCATCAGATCTTATGCATCAGGCATGCTGTTCTTATAAATTTAGTTATTAACAGTCACATGAAAGTCTGTAATTCTGAATGTTCTACTACCACTTTTAAATTAATACACTATAAATGTTTGAAAGTCTTAAGCAGTCTTCACATTATGGCAACAGAATATATTACCCACTGTCTAAAACAGCATGGCTCATATCAACTTATACAATGTTACGTTAAGATATTTTCATGTCTAATAGAATATAAAACATGTTAAGATATTTATGAAACAAAGGTAATTCAGCCAGTAAAGATATCTTATATTGCACTCACTCTCTTCAGAAAAACAACTCTATCTTGTAAACTTTGCACGGCTTTGTCATTGTCATGCTCATTAAAGTCATGGGAGTATGAGGAGGAGGCCCTAAGACCACCTTCCTCAAGGCCATCTAAAAGAGACGCTTTGGAGGAACGGTGCTCCCTACAAAAAGAGCAAACATAGTCAAGTATTATACAAATGTACCTAGGAAACCACAAACAACTGCTCGTAATTAATGAGTTCTTGCTACAATGCAATACCGGCTCAAAACTACAACATATTAGGAGTTGACACCAGTATCTTGAACTATACGCAAAAACGTGACAGTGCGAATGAACTTAAAAATTGTCCTAGCAACAGTTTGTGGCACGGTTTCTAACTAAAGCAAAACTTTTCTAACTAAAACGAAACTAACACGTTTAATAAAGTTAATAAACGCATAATAGTACTACGAAAAAACGAAGAAACATGAAGTTTGTAGTATTTCTGTACTGCGAAAGATTAAGGCAAAGTACCAAAGAACTGGAGAAAGACAGTTAATCATATATTCGGACCCAACAAGCACAAGTCTAAGGGATCGGAATCTCGAACGATGATCACAGCTTATAACTTCAAAATTTCACCAGTTTTACACAAATTGCAAATCAACACCTTGTCCCCGTTTTCACAGATTTCCGTCCGACTAATCCGGACTATTAAGAATAGTTCTATCCTCAACTTGTAAACTAATCAAACGGACACTAAATCCAACCTGCATTTTAAATTTACCAAGATTAATGCTTCAGATAATCGCAAGTAGAGCTCGTACTTAGTGCTAATTACAAGATCTAACCAATAAATTTCGAAATTAATAATCCAATTAGCAACACAACATTGCGTGCAGAGAAAAGATAAAATTCTGAAGGTGCGAAAATTCGAGATCTTGATATATAAAATACGTACTTATCAGAGAATACGAACCTTCTGTTACTCATTGACTGCAGCGTTCGCAGATTCGACGTCCTTTTTGCGCCAGTAGGATTTCGAATCGTAAGGACGAAATTGAATGGAAATTTCTGGCAATGGTGTTGGAGAGTGTAATAGTGAAGTTTGAAATGGTTGATCTTCCTCCGTTTGGTTGCTGAGAAAATGTGGGAAAGGAAAGAAAAATGAAGAGGAATTTTGAGGAATTGATTTCAAAGGAACGGAAAGGCGGTTATTGGAGTTCCACGTGGTGCCAGAGGTTGGGCTTGCCGCCAATAGGCTTCTTGGGTTCTTTAGGCCCACCTAGATTTTTTACTCTAAAAAAAAGGATTTTCAAGATCCAAGAGATTGAAAAGAAAAATGTTAGATCGACGGGATTAGAAGTGTCTTCGTAAGCACTTCGAAGGTATGTAAAAGGGATATTTAAATGATTAAATCCTTACTTGCAAGGTGTCATTTGAAATCTCTCATGTGCTTTATTATGTTCATGGATATGGATAACCGTGAAGATCCCTATTTTTTTAACTTAATCAGGCGGATATGGTAATAACACTTTCTGCCTTGAAATCTCCTTGTTTACTCGTGTAACATTTTAATGTTAGAACATAAGTATGATTGTAAGTGCTAGCAACCGGCTATAGTGTTTCAATTGGTATGGAAAGGTCTTATTGTAGAGTTTAAAGTTGTCCTAATCAGTTTCAGGATTGAAACTTTAATAAATCATGATACTTAACACTCATAGTTGGATTGGAATTGTGTGTTTGTTTCCTATGCTGATTTTAATAGGAAAATCACAAGGATTGTTTCAATATAAAATATTATTGTTTCAATATAAAATATTGGCCTCTACTCTAGGCCTGGCAATTTCTGACACGACCCGATAACCCGACACGACACGACACGAAATTAACAGGTGTTTGGGTCGACACGATAACGAATCAGGTCGTTATCGGGTAACCCGATAAGCACCTGTTAAGATAACGGGTTGGTTCGGGTATACACGTGGGTAACACGATACACGATAAGCAGAATATTATTTTTATAATTTTATAACCCTAAAAAATACTGTAATAATTATATACATTAATTTTACAATTTTATACCCCTAAAAATTATAATAAATATATATATATTAAATTAACCATAAAATTTATAATAATTATATATACTATAATAATTATACCCCCAAAATATTAAGTCTATCTATAATAATTATATATATATATATATATTAAATTTTATAAAAACTATAATAATTATTAATTAATAATTTAATATGCATGATGCATTGCATGATTTTGCATCCATTGATGTGATTTCTTTCCATTCAATAATCAATTTCTTGCCGTTGCCAACTTGCCGCCCTTTTTGAAAAAAAAAATGGAGGGAAAATGAAAATGTTAAGAAAAGTTGAAAATGAAATAAAAAAGTGAAGGAATTAGGAAAAGATGTTGGAGGGAAAAGTGAAAACGATAAGAAAAAGTTGAAAAGGAAACAAAAAAGAGAGAGAAAAATGAAAATTAATAAAAGTGGTGAGAAATATTTTTTTTTTTTTAAGTTATTAACTTTTTATCACACACATGACTGTTATGACATATCTCACTATTTTTATAATGACACACGTGACACGTGATGTATGTACTATTCCGTGTACCAGTCAATTATAATTTATACGTACAAAATAAATAGATTTAAATCTACTTAATAAATATATACACACACACACACACACACACACACGGAACTTGATTGATGGCATACGAGTTCTCCAAAACTAATTTCAACGATCCCAACCGTCAAACTTGTTTGTATATGCTTTGAGATCACATCAACAAAAAATCATAAAAAATAAACATTCAGAGATCAAGTAACGGGACAAAGCTTTTCAACGGTTATAAACGAAAAATCACGACTTAACGGTTATTTTAACTTCGATTTTGATGATTTTTTATAGCTACACTCCTTGACCCTATATGAATACAATGAATGAATTCGATCTTCAATTTAAAATATTTACACAAGTGGATACCACAAAATCTTATGTTATACTTGATGAAAATATAAATAAACTCTAAGAAGTGTTAGTTAATCTATTGTTTTTATGGGATACGAATTCTCTTAAACTAATTTCAACGATCCAAACCGTCAAACTTGTTTGTATATGCTTTGAGATCACATCAGCAAAAAATCACAAAAAACAAACATTCAAAGATCAAGTAACGGGACAAAGCTTTTCAACGGTTATAAACGAAAAATCACAATTTAACGGTTATTTTAACTCCGATTTTGATGATTTTTTATAACTACACTCCTTGACCCTATATGAATACAATGAATGAATTCGATCTTCAATTTAAAATATTTACACAAGTGGATACCACAAAATCTTATGTTATACTTAATGAAAGTATAAATAAACTAAGTGTTAGTCAATCTATCATTTTGATGGGATACGAATTCTCCAAAACTAATTTCAACGATCCAAACCGTCAAAATTGTTTGTATATGCTTGGAGATCACATCAGCAAAAAAATCACAAAAAAAAACATTCAGAGCTCAAGTAACGGGACAAAGCTTTTCAACGGTTATAAACGAAAAATCACGATTTAACGGTTATTTTAACTCTGATTTTGATGATTTTTTATAACTACACTCCTTGACCCTATATGAATACAATGAATGAATTCGATCTTCAATTTAAAATATTTACAAAAGTGGATACCACAAAATCTTATGTTATACTTAATGAAAATATAAATAAACTCTAAGTGTTAGTCAATCTATCGTTTTGATGGGATACGAATTCTCCAAAACTAATTTCAATGATCCAAACCGTCAAAATTGTTTGTATATGCTTGGAGATCACATCAGCAAAAAATCACAAAAAAAAAAACATTCAGAGATCAAGTAACGGGACAAAACTTTTCAACGGTTATAAACGAAAAATCATGATTTAATGGATATTTTAACTCCGATTTTGATGATTTTTTATAACTACACTCCTTGACCCTATATGAATACAATGAATGAATTCGATCTTCAATTTAAAATATTTACACAAGTGGATACCACAAAATCTTATGTTATATTTAATGAAAGTATAAATAAACTCTAAGTGTTAGTCAATCTATCGTTTTGATGGAATACGAATTCTCCAAAACTAATTTCAATGATCCAAACCGTCAAAATTGTTTGTATATGCTTGGATATCACATCAGCAAAAAATCACAAAAAAAAAACATTCAGAGATCAAGTAACGGGACAAAGCTTTTCAACGGTTATAAACGAAAAATCACGATTTAACAATTATTTTAACTCCGATTTTGATGATTTTTTATAACTACACTCCTTGATCCTATATGAATACAATGAATGAATTCAATCTTCAATTTAAAATATTTACACAAGTGGATACCACAAAATCTTATGTTATACTTAATGAAAGTATAAATAAACTCTAAGTGTTAGTCAATCTATCGTTTTAATGGGATACGAATTCTCCAAAACTAATTTCAACGATCCAAACCGTCAAAATTGTTTGTATATGCTTGGAGATCACATCAGCAAAAAATCACAAAAAAAAAAAACATTCAGAGATCAAGTAACGGGACAAAGCTTTTCGACGGTTATAAACGAAAAATCAAGATTTAATGGTTATTTTAACTCTGATTTTGATGAATTTTTACAGCTACACTCCTTGACCCTACATGAATACAAAGAATGAATTTGATCTTCAATTTAAAATATTTACACTAGTGGATGTGGATATCACAAAATCTTATGTTATAATTTATATACTTAATAAAAGTATGAATCAACTATAATATTAATAATTATATACATTAATTTAATAATTTTATATTCCTAAAAAGTAAAAACTATAATTATTATATATATTAAATTAAATTTAAAAATTGATGACCATTGGATTGGCTGAGATTAAATTTAAAAATAGCTTTGTTGTGCACACGAGATTGGCTATTTGGAAAAGGAGGTAATATATTTTTATATGGTATAGTATTATTATTTTATTTCTTTTCATAATTATTTTGTTTAACTTTTCATAATTGAATGATTTTTAATGTTTGCTTTTTCTATACTTAATTTATGCGGAAGAGAGTTCTGACGTGGAAAAACTTACTGAAAACATCTTCAACATAACTCTTGAAGGCAATAGATCAAGCCAAAGTTCCAATACAATTTCATGATGATCGATGTAAATTGAAGATTTTGTAAATGGAGGTGTAAACTTTTGAGAAAGACTTACAATCTTAAAAACAAAAACTCTTTATCCTTGCACATTTAATATTTGTAATAGATTAGTAGTGTATGTATTATTTTTTTTATTAGGCTTTTATTTTCGAGTGTAGATATAGTACTTGAACGAGAAATGTTTTAATGTTTTGAAGTAATATTTATGTGGCAATGTGTGGTATGTGCAAATTTTAAAAAAATATATTTTTTTCTTAACGGGTCATAATGGGTCATAACGGGTCGGGTCACTTTACCCGTTGGGTAAAGTGACACAATCTGTTAAGGACTCGTTAAGATAACGGGTGTGACACGACACGACCCGTTAAGATAACAGGTGTTACACGAAAATGACACGAACACGATAGACACGACCCGTTTGCCAGGCCTACTCTACTCTCACAAAACATACGCTCAATATTAAACTAAGACCTATTGTTAATTTGAGTACTTTTGGAATTGTGATTTTAATACTTGTATAAATTGTGGTTCATGTGCTTAATCTCTTAATATGTTTTTGATAAGTTTAGTCTTACATGTAGTATCAGAGCTTAAGATTTTTGTTCTTGAATTCAAATAGAAAGTATTAAATTGAAGTAGTAATCGACATGATGGTTTATCGGGAAAATCGACTTTGGTTTGCAAAAGAAATTTTTAAGGTTTTACAGAAATAATAGAGAGGATGTCTTTATGTAAAAGGTTAGGTAGTGTTGTTTTCAAAATTATTTGACCATTGCAATTTTGAAAAAGAGGAAAGTCGTGTTCTGTCTAAACCATCTTTCTGCAAAAGATCAAGGGGTTGTTGAGGTTTGTGAATATATGAACGCATGCATGCACTTGTGAAATTTCTTTTGATCAAGAATTGGTGTGAAACCCTGTTCCTGGATTTCACTATTGTAAACTACGTATTTGTATGAACGAGATTTTATATTATTTT